ATTTACAGACTTACAATGCTAAAATGCAGCGTTAGGTTCTCTCTGGAGGATTTAGCAGATAGCCCAATGTGGCTTTTCTCTAAAACAAAAACTTTTGGGTAAGTAAATATATAATGTACATTACTACAGCTGTGGAGATTTTCTGGTAAGTTAATACTTAAAGTGTGCATTACTCGAGCTGTGGAGGTCTTTGTGGTAAGTATAAAATGTACTTTACTTCAGCTGTGGATATCTTTGTTAAGTACATATAAAATGTACGTCACTAGGACTGTGGAGATCATTCAGATAAGTAAATATAAAATGTGTATCACTAGGGTTGTGGATATATTACTTGTTAGCATATATAAAACTTGTATCATTAGTGCTGTAGAGGTTTTTTTGATACATAAATATGAAATGTACATTACTATCATTAGAGCTGTAACTATTTTTCTGAATAATACCTAGTTGGAAGCCATACTTATAGAGCTGTAAGAATATCCTTCTTGTAAGTAACTAAATTATTAATCATTACATTTGTAAAAATAATAATGAGGTGATGTACATTAATGTATACATTGTTCTGTTCTCTAACCCTGTTGTCACTTACATCCCTTCAACTGTTCAGATTTCTCTTTTAAATAACACTGAATATTGTTTTTGGACTTGTAGACATTTTTTATGGTGAAGTAACTACTAAATGAATCCTACACTAGAGTTGTTGAAATTTTACTAATAAGTTATCCTAGATTGATGATGATTGTAATTATAACTGTAGTAATTATTGTCATCTTTGTTAATGTGAGGTAATTTATCTTATGTGAGTTGTTAAAACTATGTAAATGAACCTTATATTAAAATGCTCTTCTTGTGTTCTAGGTATATTTGGTGCCCCAGTTGTCTTTGTTTGGGGACTTCCGTCAGGACCCTCAGATAATGTATCATAACTTTCGTGTGTATGGAACCATTCTTCTTATCCTGATGGGCATTATTGTTTACATTGGAGTGGCATTTATCAGCAAGTTTGCACCTGTAGCCCTCTTCTGTGTTATTGTCTCGATTCTCTGTGTGTACATTGGCATATTTGTAAACATATATGGGAGTAAAAATTTCAAGTATGGTTTTTCATTCCTTAAAAGTATAAAGTATTTAGAGTGTTAGTATGTAAAGCCAATCAAACACTGTTAAGTGTGTGATTTTTTATGAAATTTATGAGCGAAGAGCTTGGTGTATGTTGTCATTTAGAGTTTAACGTTTATGTTATGATTTAAGTTTATATTATGTAGAATTTTAATAATTTGGATTTATTTATTATCAGAATGTTGTTTTATATCTCTAATGCATTTCTTGGTTTTTATTTATTCATATAATTATGACTGGGTTTTAGTCTAGAGTTTTGTGCGTTGATCAGTTGTTATTAACCATTATTTCAAATGTGTGGTCTCTCCTTAGTTTTATCTATTTGAATAATCATTGTTAGGTTTTAGTCTTGAATTTGTAGACTTAAGGTTTTAAATATTTTGTTGTCAACCTATTCTTTAGATTCTATAGCCCTACTCTTATTTCTAGCTATTCATTTAACAGTTGTTGAGTTTTAATTTACATTTTGTAGCCTTATGGTTTTAGTTTTTCAGTAACTGTTGTAATGCTTTAGTTTAGATTCTGTAACCTTTCTTTGGTTTTGTTTTAACCCTAGGATATTTAAGTAATGAAATTTCCTTTTTTTTTTAAAGCAGATTTGTGCTATTTTCTGGTAGTCAGCAGTTTCATATCAACAAACTTCAAATATCTTACTCTCATAAGATGCATAGCTCTCTTCATTACAGTAAATTAATGTATGTTTCATATTTTATGTTTATTTTATTTTGCTAGAGAACCACAAAAATACTTGTTTGCTTAAATCTTTCATTACAAGTATGTCAAAATGTGCATGTCATGACCTTTTAAATACTTAAATTTCAAAATTTAATTAACTGTATTGCTGTGGATATCCTTTACTGTGCATGTCACGAGGTGTTTAGTGAGTTACATTCCATATTTAATTAAATTACTTTTTTTATGTTATACAAATTAGTATAGCATAAAATCATATCTAATCATCCGTATTTTATTAGTATATAAGGTTTCTTAATTTTATAAGGCAATATTAGAAAATCGTGAATTTCCCTAGTGTGAGAAATGTGACATTTTTTCTCTCTGCACCCTCTCTTCTCTAATTTATTCACCACCCTTCCAATATGTAAAAACTTTAATGTAAATTACTTACTATAATATTATCATCACTCTAGCAAAGCATAATTTGCATAGCCTTCAATTTTGTTTGGTTACAGAGTCATCAGAAAATCAGCCCACTCTTGCCACACCCACTTGCCACATCCTCTCATTCAGGATTTATCAATAGTTATCTCTTACTTTTAATACTATATTATTTATAACCACTAGAAAGCCAAGTTTTCATATATCAAATGGTGTATTATGTTACATTGTTTTTCTTGCAGATAATTGTCAGTTTCTTTTTTAGTACAACCTTTGTTCCCATGGGAAAGATAACGACTAGCTTGGATGAATTTGTAATGACTCTTGTCATATAGTCAGAAAGCCAGAACAGTTGTGATAGTTATGGGAAATTGTATGCTTTTGCATGTTATTTTCGTATGTTCTTTGGTGCATTATTTCATTAACATTCTTAATATGGCTTCAGTCAATTTGACCAACCATGTGACCTTTTTACTCATTTAAAGTCTTTATAGATTCAATGCTTATAACTCTCAATGTAGTGTGTATATCTTAACGAAACTTGGCAGTCTTTCAGTTAATATTACAAGTCTTTCATATACAAAAATTCATATTTTCTAGTGAAGTATTTTTAATAACATAAAATAAAGATTTGTCCATGAATATATTGAGTATTTG